TATGTTTGTCCATGCGCTGCATGCCCGATACTGCCGCGATCGCCACGCGCGCGCGCGCGCGAGCGCTAACGTAGATCCCCGAGATAGTAAAAAAAAGGGGATGGAGGTATGCCAAGTTTTACGTCGAGCTATAAGTGAAATGTACATCCGCGGGCGAGCTTTCTGTTACATATGTAACGCGCAACGACGGACTTGCGGCCGGATTGGGATTTACACGCCGGTGAAATCGGTACCTCGGCGTACGAGAATCGCCAGCTCGATGGAAGGCCAGAGGTAGACGGGTACAATGTACCGATGGCCCAGTTCGCGTTAGAGAAACTCTTCATGTGATTTCTATTTTAGGTAGCGTTGGTAGCCACCTAAAATCCTGCGACCTCTTAAAGTTCAGATGTCACGTGATAGATTACTAATTGCTTTTAATGAAGACACGGGGTCATCTCTGTCTTATATTTCAGAGATAACTCGCCTCTACGGTTAACGTCCTATTTAGAATCTGTCGCATTACATTTTTATTTATAGTAGGACGTGTAGTGAGATCAAGAGCTGCTTAGCTGCTATTTTTTGTTTCGATACGCCATACCATCTTTGCTCTTTCGTGTTTTCGTTGAAATAAAGTAGATTAGCACAGACAGGGGTACGTCGGGCGATCGAGAGACAGACAGAGCGCAGGAGAAAGAGAGAAAGTAAGGAGAAAAAGAGAGACAGGCGTTTTCGCCGGTTGAAAGTCGCTTTACTTCATAATCGCCCAGTTACACGGGGAATTACCGTCGTCGTGGGGCTTGCAACGTCGAGTACTGTGAACGTGGCATTAATCCAAGGAGAGGCGGGATGCTGGCGAATGCCGAGAGTGCGAGATAGAGGATGGGTTGAGAGAGAGAGAAAGAGAGAGAGAGAGAGAGAATCAGGCCAGGGATAGAGAGGGAGCTTAGAAAGACACCGGGGGCGAGACGAGGCACGCCGTAGCCGGGGCGAGAGCCTTTCGTTCCTTCGACGTGCCGTCTCGGCATTAAATATGCATACCGCCCGACTTGACTGCGTCCTGCGGGAAATGGAGATTTTATTACTCCGGTACAACCTAATGTCTCGTGCAAGTTTGAATTACCGCCGCAGGACGGCGACGGTTTGCGCGCTTTAAGCGCATCGTGCAGGGCGCGAGCTCGCGCGGCCAGGAAGCTATACCAAGGAGATTCACGATGTAAAATACAAATCGAACCTCGATCCCCTCTGTGAGAGGAGAAATCGTTGGAAAAGCGGAAAAATGAAAGCCGCAAATTTAGAAGATCTGAGTATTTAATGATTTGCGCGCGATGATTTCCGTCCGATGAAAGGGCCCGTAAAATATAAAGCGTTTCGTGCGGCATACGAACGCATGCAATATCAATCTTATTAATAATAATGGAAAATTGTGCGCTATAATGGATATTGTTGGCCATTAGATTGTAATTGTTTTAAATTACATTGTAGTTGTATTGTAAACCATGGAAAAATTAAAATCAAAGTGTTATGTAATTTATGCTGCAATGCTATTTCGCCCTCAAAATATATACGTGACCCTATTACGGTAAATTGCAGTCTGGCAAACAAACGATTGATCATGATTAATTTTGCCAAAAATAATCTACAGCGTAGAAGTTGCGTCCATTTGGATGTGAACTAAAATTTCTAAATGCTTTATTTAACACACAAATTTCAATCTAAAGTACAGTACATATACGCGAATATTATATATGCGGCACGTAAATTAATGACGATACGATCAAAAATGTCGCATTACCCGCATGTTAATATTATTGAGAACCGCGCATGCTGAAAAGAGTGGTAAATTAACTTCCCATTTGCGCGAAATGTGTATAATTGTTCTTTCCCCGGTGCGATTCGTTTGGCGCGTTTCTGCCGCATTCTGTCGCATTATCTCCACGTTCTGTGGAAACCCCGATAAACAATTCCAGTTCGTTTTTTTTTTTTTGCGAATTGTAATCCGGCAAATTGCTCGTCCGCGACCGAAATTCTGATTAACTTCCACGTCTTTGAACACGACGAATTCATTACATATTTCGCGATACGCGCGATATCGAGGCCGCCTCCATGTCATTATCATTCGCGCGCATCGGTAATAGGATCGTCAACTGCGAACGAACAGATATTGTGTTATTAAGAGTTAGAGTGCATAAAACTCGCGACAATGACATTGATTGTGATGACGCGTTCGTTATCCGCGATTCGAGCGGATCGATGGCGCTTCTATCAGCGGCGCGCAGTGATAAATGCGGAGACGAGATAGAGTTAATTCTGTGTTGTTATCGAAATGCAATTTATGCGCGCCGCGAAAGGCTGGTGACACGAATCACACACGACAAAGCGATATCATTCAATATCGACAATGAAAACGGCACGTCGCTTCGGACGATCATTATCGGCTTTTTAAATATCGTTAATGAAACGTAGCTTGATCGACAATAAATTAAAAAGTTATCTCTGTGTAAACAGTTATCGCGGACAATAGGTCTTTCCTCCTTTGCCACAAATGTGCGTGAAACGTGTGTACGATCATTACGTAACATATGCAATTACATGTATACGCTATTTAAAGTAAAAAGTTTCTACTTTATTAGATAAAGATTATTATACTCTCTAAATCTAAATCAGTGGAAAAATACTGAAAAATCACTGATTGAGTCAGTATCTATAATCTAACTGTAATTTCACTAATCACTAATAATCTATAATTAAACTATTAATATTAATCTATAATTTCACTGATTACCAGTGACATACTTGGGACTGATGTATTCAATGAATAATCATTGATAATCAGCGACTATGCGCTGATTCAGATTTAGAGAGTATATTGTAAACAACATTTTATAAAGAAAATTAATAATGCCATTATAATTATTTCGAAGTAAATAAAAAATCTATGATTAGTAATTAGTAAGTTAATTTTCATAAAGCTCATCAGAAAAACGAATTTACGATTCTATTACTTGAATATTCCTTCTTTTTTTTTATATTGTTGGTTTAATTTTTATTCACGCAATCAAATTCGGTAGGTCATTTCAATTCCCGGTCGCTCGTAACATTCCGAATGTCGAGTCCATTACACGCAAGGGCGCTTTAGTTTTATGGGAAACCCATGGAATTTTCGTGATGGGGGGGTTCACGCAACCCGCTCTCGGTGTTACCTCTCGTCCCAGGGGAGACGACCCTCGCTGCCCGGGCTGACTTTAGCGCGAAGCGTCTGAAATATCCACGAGCCGGCAAGTGCCATTGCTTTTTCATTTAATGAATGAATAATGACGCGCGGCGGCAATCATCCATCGCGCCAGAGACAGGTACACCCCGGCGAGATGCGCGACGGCGTCGAAACCCGCCGACCCTCTCTCATTCCGGAACGAGCTCCGCTCTCGTGGTGCGGCCTCCCCCTCGCGCCGATATTATATGGAAATCTTTCTGTCTTTAGCGGTGGGAGGGATCACGCGAAAACGAGACAGGTGAAGTGACGTTGACCGGACGAGTGAAACATTACACGGCGGCGCAATCAAATCAATCCCGATAAGGCAATCGTATCGCGGTGGAATTTTTAAAACGAGATTTTTTAACAAGCAAAATAATATTGGTTTTGATACAAGTCCTATGAATACTATGTAGGGGAGTATAGCGTAATTTGGTCAACTTAACGAAGAAGAAATTAACAAAAATTAGCAAACATTAACACGTCTATTCAGCTCTATGTCTAATCAAAAGTGAGCTAATACAATGACAATTTAATGGGATAAACAACTGTCTAGTGCGAACTGCAGCGTTCAAAATGTTGGCCAAATTACGCTACTTTACCCTATTTTTTTTTTAACGGATTATTTACGAACAACGACTAGCACAACGCAGCTCGCCCGTTATCTCAGTCGAACGTTTTTGATTTCCGATACGTTATCCACGTATCTTGAACATTTACATATACGATCTTACCGCGTGCTATAGCGATAACGAAAATATACGCATCCGCGTGAGCGTTCCGACGAGTATGCGCGAAACGTAGGGTCTCGTCGTCGTTAAATATTTTACGGCCGATTTTACGGGCCCCCAGAACGGTCATTTTTCTTTTTTTTCTCTCCTTTTTTTTACGGGCGGTCAGTATATATCCCGCACGAGTGACATGAAACTCTTGTCACGACAGGACGAAACCGCGCGTAGTGAAAAGGAAAACCTATACGAACGCACTTTTTGTACGTGGAAAACATGAAACTTGCATATGCCGTGAAACTATAATACATTCAGGTTATTATCCCGACCTGCCGCTAATGATTTAATTAGCTTCGCAGCGATACGCTGAAGGAGATCGCAGTCGCGTGATAATCTGATCTCAACACGCACATTAGGACATTAGTAGCGTTTCTGCATTTTTGACGAGCGCAGTTAAATGCACGGCTCGAAACCGAACGCATACGTGTAGTGCCATGACGTGTGCACTTCGCGATTATTTTTGGGATGAGACAATACAAATGCTCGAAGAGATCTCACGGGGAATCGCAGCGTGTATAGGGAACGATGCAATTCGATTGTATAGCCATTGGCTCTCGTTCGTGGACCGAGCATCGAAGCTTCATACAGTTTCGCAAACGCCTTCTCGTATAGCGGCTTCTTACTGCCGTCTGCCATCGACATGACTTTCTGCGCTCCCTGTTTCCATCTGACGTCGCTTCCACGAGGACCTTCGAATCTGGCACCGTTCTCCGCTTTGATCCCGGCGCGGCGTGTCCCCTTCTAAAGTCCCTTTCCGCGCGAGATATTGATTGCCACCGCGGCACAATCGCCCGCGAACATAATGCTCGAATTTGTCGAACCATTCGACGAGAAGTTCGTTACACTAACGAGCGACGAATTATATGCATTTGTCGCAAATGCGACTGCGACCGGTATATATACACAACGCGCGCGGCGCGGCGCGGTGGTGCGACGCATCACGTTGCCTGGTAACCGCAACTCTGGACGCGGAAATATTAATTGTACCGCGCAAACAGGACGGCGCTTTCTGAATTACACGCATAAACTGGATGCATAAGGAAATTTCGTCACGCTGTCTGTACGGGATGAAGTAGTATTCGTATTTCGTATCGCGCCTAGTCTCGCGAATTTCGGCGCATCCGATTTTCATCCCTCGTGTTCTGCAGTGCGAAAGTGTCACATGTGTGGCGCGGCCGAGTTCTCGAGGTGGCTGACGAAACTTATTAGGGATGGGACACAACGAGAGATAAAAGTATGAAAAAAAATCGGATTGCTATAGGAGTTAGAGCCGGTGGAGACGCGGATCGAAAGAAAGGAGCATGGGATTTCACGAGAACGAGTCGTGGAAGAAACGTGAGATACGTTCGCTGCGTGCTCTTAGCTGTCAGTGTCAGCGTTTTTTAGCGTACTGCTATTTCGGCGTTTCCCAAACTGCGTGCGTGCGTTAAAGCCACGTGCCTACAGGGCCGGTTGGCCCCATGGAAACTACGACGTAGGCAAAGCTACGTTTCATTACCGAACGAACTTTGCGCAAGAACACGCGAGAAAGAACAATTGCATAATTGTTTCATAATAAGCATTATCAACATTTTTCTAAAATTATCTTCACATATTTTCTATTTAATCAATTTCTTTAATCGCTTTACAATAATATCAAGATAGAAATCAATTAGCTATTATATTTATTTTCGCGGAAGGTATTCGCCAAATAGAAACGTAGAAATACCTTATGTACACGTTATGTGTACACCGTGCTACAACAGCCGTGTAAATTTAAGCTCATCGCCCGCGGGACAAAGAGAAATAATATACACCACGCTCTCGCGCGCGCGCCTTCCTGTCGTGATTTCCTGTCGCGACGATTTAACGGCGGTGACATTATGAGCCCCAATGAGAATTTAAACACCTCCGTCCAAAACACATCCGCGAATCGGTGGCGGCGGTGGCGGCGGCGGGCCGCGCTCGACGCCCCTGTCGCGACCGCCCGCTCTCGGCCGTGGTATATTGCGATATATATTTCAATAAAATATTGAGACAGGCAGGCACCCCGGTGGCGGCGCGACGCCTGGCAATAATATATTGAATATTCCCCGTCCGATTCCGTGGAACATAAAAACGGGGCACAAAATAACCGTTAGAGCCGCTCTGAATATTAATGCCCGCCGGGGGCGCGAAGGTGTACGCGTATACGCGTCCGCATCCACTCTTTATTTCGTACATAATGTTGTATACGTCTAGATACGCGCTCTAATTAATAAAAACGCCGTTATAACTAGCCGCCATCCATCACTCCGGCTTTCCACGCCGACGCAATTCAAGGCGCCAGTCGTTCCACTCGATAAGAGAAGAGAGCGAAACGTATATAGATTTATAGATTTATCTCAACGATATTTTTTTTTCACCCTCGCCATTCACGACTTGCGACTGATTGATTGATCGGCCCCCCCCGGAGAAAATTATGTGCATTTATCGCCGTGAGTGATGTTTACGATTCGATTTTTGTGCAGACGTATTAAATACCTTTGAATGAATTGGCTCATGCAATTCCACGAACGAGTTTAAACATTCAGCGTTGTAACGATATACTACTCTTACGGTCGATATTATCGTTATCGTCCTCGATCTTATCGTACTCGTTATCCTATCTCGACGGACTGATGATATGATCGAGAAAACGATAATAATGACATTAATAAATGGACTCCGCTCTGTGAGAATCCCGAGAGAAAAACTGCGGCGAAACAAACAATCGACGGGATATTGTTGAAGGCTCGCAACTGTGGCTAAGTTTTCGTGTCGATCATGTGGGTTTAGTGGGCCCGAGTGGATTCAATGGGAAAATTGGATGTCTCCTATTCTTCGTGTGCTGTATTTTTTCCACATCGACTCTTGCTTCCGCGATGAAATTTGCTAAAAAGAAAATATCAGTGTACAACGAAATTTTCAAATTATGCAAACTCTTTAACTGTAACGGTGCTCTTTAACAGTATCTTATCCATGCCTGGACCTTGCACATGGCTGATTAGCGCGGTATTAAAATTGAAAAAGAAACTGCTAATTATTGCTCTTATAATGTATATCGGGGGCCGGATCTGTCGGCATAAACTGGCGCTCGGCACGCAGCGTGCGATAACGTAATAAAGATGGCATACTTCAGATAGAAAACGCAATAAACTATGGAAGCACGCTCACCCATTGGACCGAAAATAACCATATTTCTCTCGTCATTACCCGGTATAATGCGGCGTATCGTTCGGGGGCGACGGTGTACGTACGAACAATGGCCTTAGCATTATGGTATGCATTAACCTGGAATTACCGGCTGAATTTAGCAAGATACTTAATTAATCAATTTTCGTTACAGTCGAGTTTATGCAACCGTGTTTCATTATACGGCCCAGCGGAGTTCAATGAATCAAACTACACCCATAAATCCATGATCATTCTTGATTGCATAATCATCGAAAAATTTATTGTTGATTTCATAACTTTGAAAAGAGAATGAAATAAATATCAAGATCTAAATAATTTGTTTTTTTTTTTTTAAGAAAAAATTCCGTATAAAAATAAACACGGCAGGATAACGACTGAATCCGCGAATCGAAGATTTGTGCACAAAGATTTGTGAAAAGATCAAGGCCGTTAGATGGATTTTCGCCCTATCGCGGCGATCCTTGTAGCCTCCTTGCAGCTTTTGTTTTGCACTCTCGTGAATATTCATACACGGAAGGCAACTCGCCACTTTCTTACGCTATGATGGATGGTTCTCGGAACGGGCAGTGAGACCTACTTCTTCGTTCCGCCGTCGGACAGACGAAGGGCTTCGTCATCCATCACATTTTCCCCGTCAGCCGGCCATCCGACAACCCGAGGTCGCCCGAACCTCTCCCTCCACCCATCAGCTTTCTCGCGGGTGGAAAAAAATCATGTTCGTGGTTCCGGATAATTAGTGCAACGTCGAGAAAAGAGAGGATTTTGTCGATTTCGACAGATTACGGTCGGTAATTAAATGCGCCGAAGAGATTTCGGAGCTTAACGCGGGCCGGCGGTGGGGGGTCCCCCAGCCATAAGTTCCGCAGTTGACGGATCATTCAATTTGGTCCCCGTCGAGAGTTTGATAGTATGCAAATTAGTATGCAACAGTTCGAAATGTGTGCATTCGACTGCGCGCAGCGACGCGTGGCCATATTTAATCCTTCCCCTAGAAAGTTACGACGTAACGTGGATATGCAGATTTCGAGCGTTGTCGAAACTTTACATGTGCCACATTAATCAGCACAGATGCGAGATCCGCCCTACGATATGCGTTATCTCGTGTGTTACAGCGCATATTTTAAATAACTCTTAACGTAAACATTCATAGACGCGGCAACCGCAATTCGGTTTCGTGAACAATATTAATCCGAGCTTATTGTTAGCGGCACTTGTTCGCAATAATGCAGTTTGTAGCGCAGTTGTTAAACAGCGGAGCATAATTCGTAATTTCGTGTAGTAAGCGAGTGAAATCGTTCTCTGTTAATCATGAGAAAACAGAGGCTATCGAAGTCTTGTGTGCGTGACGCAATACAACGGCAGAAAAATCTGTCAACAAAATCGTGGTATATATATATACGCGATATCTGGAAAAAAAAGAACCGAGGCGAAAGATACAATTAAGCAATAGATTTGAACAATCCCTTATATCAATTTGAACATCGGTCGATTTCGAAGGCTATGGTCGCGCTCGAGTTTCTCCTCTGTCGATCGATTGTTATCGCGATGCCGGTCACGTATCGCCTCATTAAAAAAAAAAAGAGAGACGAAAGAAAGGGAGAACCACGAGGGGCGGCGAGCGCAGCTCGCGGAGCTCGCGGGACTCGCGGGACAAACACACGCGATTGTTTCGAACGACGTCGGTCGGTCGCGTCAGTTGATCGAGTGTTCATAAGTGCCGGGCAATCTTGTGCCCGGCGGTAATTTTGTGCAAATAGTAATATTGTGCAGACCGAGTGGCTGCTAAAAGCTGTTACTGCTGCTGTGCTGGGCTGCTGCTGCACGGCGGAGTGTAACGCTCGCTCGCGTGCCGACCTATCATTTTCATTATGCCTACCCGGGCCGGCGCTGCACAGTCAGATAAAACCAATTATTGCCTATCCGACATCAAGCCAATCGTTGTCAGTGCTCCCAAGACGAAAACTGCCCCGACCGCGAATACGATTTTACTTGCAAACTAGCTATTTTACTAGTTGTTAATATCTGCCGTACATCAGACGAATCGGCGCGAGCAATCGTTCGGTACACGTGCGTGTTTTGAGAAATCACTTTTGTCCCGCGTGCCGTGCCGACCACCTTTTCACCCGCAAAACGTAGAATTTGCGAGAATTATTTTTAGCAATTGAAATTTTTATTAAAGTCAAATGCGTGCCCAGAATATACCGCGTAACACTGCGGAGTGAACGTATGATAATATCGAGCAGATAAAAATGAGTTTCTGCTAAAGTAAACGACCAAGCCTGCTGCGAACATGTCAATTCCAATGAAGGATCTAATTCGCCAAACTGGATAGCGATCTAAGCTCGTGTCGTGCGCGGCTGTATTTTTCCCGTCGGGAAAAGGAAAGTCGCGCCGCGCGTCCCGGCCGTGTGCATATACGAGGGAGCGCACACAGGCGCATATCGCATTGCGCCAGCCAGAGAAACGTGGACTTTTGAACAATGGCGGGGTGGCGGACTACACCGCGCACTCGTCCAATCGATCGCGATGTCTAAACGCTTCTAGGAACAGCGAAGTGTCGTGCCGAATGGAATTAAGTAACGGGAGTCGATATCACGCAGCCCCGGAAAGCTGTATTGCTGGGAGGGGGGGGAAAAAAACTGCGCCGCACGGAAGAATTGCGGTGCGTGTCTCCGCAGGAGTACGAGAAAGCGAGGAGGAGAAGAAAAGGAAAAGAGATGGAAACCACGCGCTTCTGCGTCGCGTGAAATACGAGGGCGGTCTCGAAATTCTCGCATGTGACACACAATTCTGGTTCGCTCGTGCGATCTAGACCGGCGCGGTTTAAAAAAAAAACGAGTAGCTTTCTGGAATATATTTCCGCAACGCAAAATCCAATTTCGTTTATCGAGTATCATAGCGACGATATGACTGGTAATAATTAATTTTGTTTTCGAGCAGGCATTTTATAAAAATAGTAAAAACACCTATAGCTACTTGAGCAGAAGATATAATATTTCAACTACCCGCATGTCGATCGCGCGGTCGCGCGAATTATCGTGGTCACCGTTCTCCGTCAACGTCGCGATCTCGATTTCTCTCTGCGAGATGGCCGAGACCCCCGTCTCGAGACACGAACGGAGACAAATCGTCCACGGCAATAACTGTCGCGCGCCATTCCCCGGATCGAAAGGGGGGGAAAAGACTAAAAGTAGCTGGACATTGACGGTGGGGAATATCCCAGGCGCGATAGGTCGGCACTCGGCGCTGAAGAAGGGCAACAAAATCAAAAGGAGAGTCGAAGATCGTACGTTATATGTGTGCGCGGCCACCATCCCCCAGAGCCACGGGTAATCCACTTGTCTTCCCGGCGCGCACAAACTCACGAGACCGGCCTCGACTGACCTATCACGTCAGACGGGCCCGGGCTTGCTTTCCGTCAGATTGTATTACAGGGCTAAGCTTTCATTAGCCTCGTACGTCAAGCGACAGCTTAACCTTTCTCCGCCGTTGTCCCTTTCCCTCTCGCAGCCGGAAGCCAGTAGTAACTGATAATTCATTCGGGCCCGCGCGTCGTCTCGGCGCGGTTTATGTCTCGCGAAGAACCCCGCGCGCGTGCACCTCTTTGAGGGATATCGCTTTTAAATGGCGGATACACCTCTATTTTCCCCCGTTAAATCCCTTCCCTGTGTCGCCGTAATTGCAAGGAGTCGCGGGATTTTCCGCATTTTACGGCGGATCACGAAAATTGCAGTTAATCGTTTCAAGACGGTTAACTGCGCGTTCTCCGTAGTTTTCTCTTCGCGTTAGTTTCGAGGCTGTCCGACGCGATGAAAGGTCCGAATCGATCTCTCGCATTTCTCGCGCAAGAATTCACGACTAATTGATTTCGAGAGAAAATTAACTACGAGTAAGAGAGAGAGAGAGAGAGAGAGAGAGAGAGAGGAGAGGAATATGTTCAATTTTTGCGCAATTTCGCTCGTTATTAATGGCATCGATCACGGAAACGGGATGGGATATTTTTCCGTACAAATCGCATTTAACTTTTACCGCGGTCACGCGCTCGAATGTTATGCCAGTGACAGCGATATGCGTTCATTGATTAATTGAAATGGGATATATCACCGTGATGGTATCAGGTCAGCGTATAAACATTATACGTACGTAAAAACGCGCAGATAGCTCATACGCATCGTTGTGGTGATAAATAAACATTCTCATTACTACAACATTTCGTATAAACTTGATAATGTAAATCTTCTTATATTTACGTTCCCTCGCAAAGATGTTGGTCCGTCAAGATGTTTCAATTGTTACTTCAATATCGAGTAAGTTTCTTAACTGAAAGCACGTACATATCACGTTTCGCAGATGAAAATTTTTCCCTTAAAGCACAGCACTCCCAAATGTGATTTACCTTGCGATTCAATCATCGTGGCACATTACGGGCATTAATATTCGAGTGCATTGCATACATTACATACGTGTAGAATGACGTATAACGCCGTCAGGTGCATGCGACTTGCGGTTGTGAAATGCAGTTTCATAGTAGGAATTGAAACGTATATATTTGACAGGACGCCCGCGGCGTCGGATACACTTTGCTTTCGTAGACTTTGAGGCGAGCCTTGTACTTTACGGGATGCATTGCCGCGAACTCCTGAGTATTGTCTGCATCAAAGAATCTTTCCCCCCTCCCCTGCCCTCTCCCCACACGAAAGAACCACTTCGATGTACAATTTTCTCTTGCGTAATCATTTAAAACTGAGAAACGATTCTTGCTTTTTTTCCCCCCTCGCTCTTTGTTTTTAAAGTCCGTTAAATTAGACGTATCCGCAAATGTCATTTTTCTGGCCAACTCAGCCGCCTTTGCAATTGTTGCTCTTTCGCTCTTTTAATCAGCGTGTTTGCGTAACGCGAGTTATGAAAGAACGAGACATCGGACGAAAGTGTTATTACACGTGCGGCAATAGCTTGTAACACACTATAAAAATATAAGGATATTGCTGCGATAAGTTAAAGAAAACAGATTTCTACTGTTTATATCGATGAGATGGGAGTTTTTAATACATTTCCCAGCGTACGATGTAACTACAATGTAACTGCGATATAATGTAACTGCAAGGCGCGCGTCTCTCTCTTTCTCTTTCGGTCTCCCTCTCCGCGTGACTGAAATTGAAACGTATACATTTTTGGAACACGGCCCGGGGCGATGTGTTACATGCGCGTAACAGAGCGCGTTGTCTGACAAAGGAATATTTCTATCTTTTGCAAAGCAGCTTGCACTCTCATTGCGGTTC